TGGAGTCAAGGATTCTGAAGCTTTGTCTGAAATACTTTGGGCATGTTGCAAGGAGGGACTGGTCCTTGAAGAGAGACATCATGTTTGGGAGAGTGGAGGGACTGCGCGGGAGAGGAAGACCCTCGATGAGATGGATCAATTCTGTGAGTGGAGTAGTGGGAATGAGTGTATTCAAGATGGCGAGGTTGGCACAGGATAGAATGGCATTTAGGGCTCTTGTACGTAAGGTCTCTATGAGTCGCAAGTGACTTGATGGCACATAACAATAACAACAAACAGAACACGCTCTAGACCTAGTGATAGAAGCTGTGCTGCAATACTAAACGCACACTGTTCGAATTCACCACCTGCTCCAGGCAAGACGGATGAGCAATCTCCTCCCTTGCGATTTATTGCCTTTGAAAACCCCCTGGAAGGTCAGTTCCCACTCGAAGGTACACAACAGAAACAGCTAGGACGAAAAATCAATGTGGTATAACTTGTCCGTTAGTATACCATCTGTTTCTGGGCGTTATTTTTTGCTATTTCCTTAAAAGCAGCCTGAACTACTTCATCACCATACGCTCTTGCTCATACGTTGCTTCATGAAATTCTTCTGAGTCTGCCAATTCCTTTCAATGCAGTGACTCAGTATATTCTTTCCATATTCTTTTAATACTTCCTGGATCATTTAATATTCTGCCTAAAGCATCCTAAGTATAGCAACTCGAGGTTTGAATTTGTTAAGTTCCTTGAGCTTAAGAAATGCTGAGCAAGTTCGGTCCTTTTGGTTTTCTGACTCCAGCTCCTTCCACATTCTTCCCATTCTGCCTTTGGACATCTTCTCTTCAGCTCTTTAGTATCTTGAATTCTTTCTGCTTTGGCTTCTAGGTGCTCTAGTGCAATATTCAGAGTTTTTTTCTGACATCCGTTATGGTCTTTTCTTCCTCTTCTTTGTAATGACCTTTTGCACTCTTCCTGGATGATACTCTTTTTTTTTTCTATAATTATATTTTATTAATTTTCATAAACATTTACAGAGATTTTGGG